AGAAAGAAAGAAAGAAAGAAAGAAAGAAAGAAAGAAAGAAAAGAAAGAAAGAAAGAAAGAATCTTCCTGAAACCAAAATGCAACCTGGGGAATTTTACCAAGATTTGCTGTTTAAACATTCAGCAAACGTTTTTCTCGAAAGAAAAATGAACCAAGACTGAGGCACACGGGACTTTTTCTTGGCAGGGGTTGGGGATCCCAGGACTGGTTCTGCAGCAAGTCTATGGAATTTACACGGAATGTTGTTGTGTGACTTCACTATAAAGATTAGTAGAGAGAAGTAGCAAAACGATCTTTGAGATCCTGACGGGCGCCAAAACAATAGGGAGGGAGTAATGTAGACAGTTGATAACCTTAAAAAAAAAAATTCACGTGTAATTAGCACATGAAAGTCAGAAGGCCTGGGTGCTGCTGGTAATGGGCTGGGTCGCTGTGAGCCAATCACTTCAATTCTCTAAGACTCAGTTTCCTCAGCTGTGAATTGAGGTGCTTGGGCTGACTTTCAAGGTGTTATTCTCAGATCAGCAGTGGCGGCAGCAGAGAAGTTGTTAGAAATACAAATTCTTAGGTCTCATCCCAGACCTAACTGATTCCCTGCAATCTGTGTTGTATACCCAGCCCTCTGAGTGAGACACCTACAAAGTGTGAGAACCCCGGAACAAAGGATGTTCTCTACCTATTGCCATAAATACTCTAATTCTAATGAGAGAGCTAGGTTCCTAGCAGATGGCATTAAAGAGTTTTTAAAAGATATTCAATGTGACAAGACATGATTATTTGTTTCAAATGATGCAAGTGTTTGGTTAACCATTCAATTTTATGAAACGTAAGAACAGTCATGCACAGGTAAGGAGCTTTCCAACAGTGAAACGAAGTGCACTGAAGCTAAATTAAAAACCCCAGATGACAGGATGGGGACAGTCACATATGCATCGGCAGTGATCTCCCTGTGAGGGTACATACAAATTAGGACAGGTTCAGTGTGCTGAAAGTAAAAAGAAGAAGGATCCATCCCTTTTAGTGTTTCAGTTCTACAGTTAAAAAAAAAAAAAAATAGACTGACAGCTCACTAAATGAACTGCCTTATAATTAGCTACCTTATTTTAACAGTACTTGTGTTTATAAAAAAATCTTCAAGGCTCATTGGAAGTTTTAGCGGAGTCATAGAGCTCAAAGGTTGAGCTCTAATACCAAAAAGCAAGAGAGAATACAAGCCAAGAAGCAAAATAAACAAGACAAATCAACTTCATAATCAACTTCGCTCTGTCCAGGAGTAGTTGAAGATGAATATGACTGCAAAACCAAGGGATTCTAGTTTGCTTTCCATAGCACCCTCTTCTTGGTCTTCCCTCTTCGCTTTAAGAGACCTGCTCTTTTATTTCTTTTCCAAGTCAGTCATTTATGCTTGTTAATTCATTGACTCTTAACACTTGAGTATGAATAAATTTTACGATGCGCTATGTCAACCAGGCATTTTCATGTTGTTTTTCATAATGAATTCTAGAATGAAAGGCCCTGTCTTTTCTATGAAAGGAGCTACAGGTATCACCCAATAAGTAGAGAAATTTTTGAATGGAGCAGAAAAGCCTCCAAGGTCAGTAAGGAGACTTCTGAAAGTCCATCGGCTTAATGATCTTCTTAGCAACTTTCTTAGGACAATTGGGAGCCGTGGTGGTAGAGGAAGTGGAGTAGCAGGGGACGTGGCATAGGAGGGGAGGTGGAGCTGGGAGCAGTCCAGAAGCCCATGGTAAAATGAATAGAGACTATACTGGCCTGTCTGCTAAAAGAATTTTCTCCCACAGGTAAAACAATCTGCAGGTTGGCTAGGCAAGACGGACTCTATTAGTTGTCACAAAATCTCTCCCAGGACTGAAGTCTTCCTACCTTAGAGGTCAGCTCTCTCCCATCCTTCTTGCTTCTCTGCCCCATCTTTTCATGCATGCGTTCAGATCAGCCCATCTCCCTTCCCCCCCAGGTGTAATGCATCTTCTGTCCCAGGAGCCAGGGCCGCTGTGTTGGTTATGTAGGTTGTACCCTCCACAAAAGGCTCACCCAAGTGGCACCACGCAGAGGGGGTGAATGGAGGCTGCGATTTAGCCCATACATCCCTCATTAAACCCTGCGTTAGGGGACTGCCCTTTTCTAACTCCCACAAAGGTACCATGAGAGCTAGCCACGATCATGACAGTAACCCCCGCACTGTATTTTTGGGCACATCTGACACTGTGGTGGTTTTCTTAAAGAAACTCCTCTTAACACGCTCTCTAGATTAACCCATGCTTCTCATTCCTTCCATAAAATATGCTGACAAGTGCCCATGGCACACCCCTGCCAACCATTGGTAGACACTCTCTAGCATGCTCTGGGCACGTCTACTCCCTTCAGTTAGGTTCTATGTATATCAAGCACTCCTATTTGTTCCCAGACTGGTTTCTACCCATCGTACTTGTTGTTTTAATGATCTAAATTAATTAAATATTGAATCAACTGATGACACCGTGTAAAAAGAGAGTTGTGGTTTCTGTGAAAACTAAGTTCAAGATATGCAAAAACTAGAAAGGGGTCGAGTACTCAAAATAGCTGTTGATTTGGTTGTGGGAAGGCAACTATAAAAGGTTGAAAAACAAATGCAAAGTCTAGGATTCTGTGCTTGAATTACTTTGTATGTGATATGAAGTCCTTGATTCACTTTAAAGAAACTCAAGCAAGAAATCATAGACCAGGAATTATGGGTGTAGTTTATGAAAGAAAGATGTGTCACTGTAATCCACAGACCCATGTTTAAAACAAAAAAAATAATGAAAGTTTTCAAAATTAAACACTTTGACCCTATAGCAAAACACATGTACAGTATTTATATATTTTAAGGTAAAATACAGGCTTCAGAAATGTCTGTGCTATGTTAAGCAGTTTTTCCAATTAATCAATTGTCAACCAATACCCAATCCAGATCATGTCATATAAGAAGACTTCTAAAGAATTTTATTTGGTGCTTAAGGAGATTTGTGAATAGGAGCTCTCACCCTTTGTGATGCCTTTCTGTGCAACTTTAAATATCTTATAGTATATCTGCCTTTTCTAGCAGTATTTTTTGTTTTTAAATCTTTTTTAGTTTTAAATTGCCAATAGTATTTTTGACAACAAAGCAGTAATGTATCACAAGAGAAAAGAGTCATCCTCAAAAAAAGCCATACAATCATGTCTATACCAACTCAAAATATAAAAAAATGTTCTTTGGAATCTAATTTGACTTTATGAAACATACTTCACTACAGATTAGAACAGGACACACATTCTATCTGGCAGCCACGAATCAATATTTGGCATCTCCGCTGGAAATTTTGTAAAAATTGCCTTTTAAAAAGTTCACACTGACTAAAAGAAAGCTGGGTATAACAAACTCAGAATTTTTCTTAGGAAGGATGATTTAATGTGAGGTTAATGATTCATTAGGGGAGGAAGAAAGAACTGGAAAAGAAGTTTTGTTTCATCATTTCCCAACCTTTTAGAATCAAAGATTCAAGCAGTTTTGGAAGTGGGGAGAAACTCAGGGGTCAGCATGCCTTTGTCTTACAGCAGAAAGTTCTTCAGATCAAATGGTCCCCTATTCTGCTGTATCTCTACTGCAAATGAGATGTTCTCCACACTGGAAAGGAGTATGCTTCATTACTGAAAAAATTCTCTTTTTTTTTAAGATCTTATTTATTTATTTGAGAGAGAGAGCATGAGTATTGGGGGGAGGGGCAGAGGAGAGGGGAGAAGCAGACTCCCCCTGAGCAGGGAGCCCAATATGGGGCTCAATCCCAGGACCCCAGGATCATGACCTGAGTCGAAGGCAGACGCTTAACAGACTGAGCCACCTATGTGCCCTTCAGAAAATTCTTTCTTATTGTGAATTTTACTCTATCATTTTGTCACCTCCACTTCTGGATTTCAGTTCTGAAACTTGCAATTTGAACATTTCTGTTCTTGCATATTTTGAGGGAACTGGGTATAGTTATCCTGGAGAAAACAAAGTGTGTGTGTGTGTGTGTGTGTGTATCCTGGATGGGTTATGGGTAAGAGTAAGAAGCTTCACAGTATAAGGGAAAACTACCTGTCAGTTTAGCAGTTAAATAATGTGAAGTCATGCCTTAAAAAGTAGTGAACTCCCTTATTCCAGAAGAGAGCAGTGATTAACTACTGGGACAACTTCAGGATGGGATTCTTATATTGGGCAGAAGGTCAGGATAAGAGGCCTCTAAAATTCCGTTGAATATTCTAAAAGTTCTTAATATACCTGATAGTCTCCATGATTTTCTACTCATAACGTACTTGGTTTCTTCAGGTATCCTTTATACGCTGTAGTTTCCAGATCTTTTTCACTATTTCAGCTGGTCTGGTATGAAAGCATGTTGATGTAATAAATATCCTTAAAATTTTGTATCCAAAATTTAAATTTAATAATCAGTAAAAATTATGCTGAAATGGGGTCACCAGGAAATGGCCTCCATTTGGTGATTTTGATATTGCTAGTAAAAGACAATATGATGGGGCACCTGGGTGGCACAGTCGGTTAAGGGTCTGACTCTTGGTTTTGGCTCAGGTCATGATCTCAGGGTCATGAGATCAAGCCGCACGTCAGGCTCCACGTTTAGTGTGGAGTCTGCTTGGGTTTCTTTCTCCCTCTCCCTGCCCCTCCCCACCCTCTAAAATAAGTAAATAAATCTTTTTTAAAAAGGTAACATGAAATGCATTGTTGCTAAAGAGCCTTGGAAAACACTAATGTCAATAAAGTGGCCAGAACTGAGTCTTAGAACTAGAATATCACTAATAAACCAGTAAGTTAGTTAATTACTTTGTAGCCTAATTAAAGAAACACAGGTCAAGAATCCCTTATTCGTAATCCAGAAAACTTGGAAAACAAATTTTTCCATAACTCATTTGGTGGCAGAAACTGATGTGAATCACTGGAGGCTATTTAATTATCTGTACTTATCCTGTTTATTCTGAATACTCACATGTTTGGCAGCCGATGTATTTCAATGTTTGATTCGGAGGTGCACTCTATTACTTTTCTAAATCCAAAGTATTTGAATTCAGAAACACATCTGGTCAACAACAGCAGGTTTGCTTGCTTGCAGGCATGGGCTCCTGGAGACTGGTGCTGGACACCTGTGTGTTTGCAAGAAAAAGGAGAAGTCATTCTACTTGCAGTAGAGTGAGCTCCAGACACTCTGAAGGATCTAGCTATACAAATAAAACAACGGGATCCTGAAGAAAACATACTTTTAATGCCATGGTAGGCTCCCAAACAGTAATGGAAATCTACACACACACACACACACACACACACCTCATACATACACACTAAACACAAAATAAATAAAAACGGACCAAATACAAACCAAGAGGAGAGGGGAATGAAAAAGGAAAAAAAAATTAACTCAATCATTCCAAAGATTGTAAGAAAATCTATTGGTCACAATAGGCTACTTTATGCTATGACGATCAATAACTTCACTATCTCACTGACGGAACACAAATCAAGCTTTCCTCTCGCTCTTGCACACCAATGCGGGCTAGTAGGAGAATCTGCTCCGCGCAGTCACTGAAGGACTTGACTGTGAAGGTTTTGACCTCCAGCATGTTGTAAGCTGTTGCAACAGGGTGAAAGAACATGTGGAGAACCCAAACCCACCCTTCCCAGTTTTGGACCAGAAATGGCATATGTCACTTTCGTTTCTATTGCCCCAGATTGTTCATGTTGCCTCCCCTAAATGCAAGTGTTCAGATAGGACAGCACATGGAATATTTACTGATCATTACTGTGTCTGCTGTAAAAAGAGAAAAAAAAGAAACAGAAAAAGTGGGACAGATAGAAATTTAAAATGAGGTTGTATAAACAAATCCAGATAAAGCTGTAATCCTAATGTACAAATTAAGTATGCTTGTAAGTAAAAAAGTAGGTAATGCCAGAAAGAATATTTTTTTATAAAGATTTTATTTATTTTTCAACAGAGAGAGAGGGAACACAAGCAGGGGGAGTGGGAGAGGGAGAAGCAGGCCTCCTGCCAAGCAGGGAGCCTGATACGGGGCTTGATCCCAGGACCCTGGGATCATGACCTGAGCCAAAGGCAGACACTTAACAACTGAGCCACCCAGGCACCCAGAAAGAATTTTTTTAATCTAATTATTCAATGTTCAGGAGAATCACCAAAAATGTGAAAACAAGTAAAGCTTGAAAATAAAAAGACAAAGAAGGATATAACAGGCAACCATGAACCAAAAGAAAGCTGATGTGGTTATATTTTTATCAGAAGTAATAGGTGTTAAGACTAAAAATTATTAACTATGAGGGGAGAGACTCATAATAGTTTTTTAAAAGCTCAATTCAAGAAGAAGATATAAAAATTTTAAACTTATGTATACCTAATAAAATAATATCAAATTATATAGAGTAAAAATTGATAAGGTGGAGAAAAAATGCGGCTCACAAAGCTTAAAATATCTACTATCTGGCCTTTTACAGAATAAGTTTGTAGACCTCTATACGTGGAAAAAAGGCATCTCAGCAAATTTCAAAATATTTTTTCCAAACGATAGTAATCTTTGAAGCACAATGCAACTAAGTAAGATGCCAATTAAAAAATAAGTTTAAATAAGTAAAAAATTCCACACTCTTGAATATTTAAAAGGAAACCATACTTTTAAATAATGCATGGGTCAAAGGAGAAATAATAATGGGAATTTTAGAATACTATGTAGTAAGTGATAATGAATATGTTACATATTAGAACTTGATAGATGGCCAAGGATGGACAATTTGAACATCACTAAGGGCACTAATTGCAATGCATAAAAATAGACCAAATATGGTTAAATTCATGAGTTTAGATACTTGGGAAAAAAGCTAAGAGGTCACTTTGGGAAGATAATAGAGAATTATTCATTGGTAAATAAAAAGAAAAAAATCCTGCATTTATCATGTCCTTCTTGCATGGACCGTACCATCAATAGTCAGTAAACTGGAAACAATGGCGTAGGTGGACAAGTTGAAACTTTTGGGCAAACCCAAGAGGCAAATCATATTCAGATGCCCAAGTGAGGCCACTAAAAGGGAACTCTTCAGGAGGTCTATGGAAAGCTGTGGTCTCTGTGGGCTGATCATGAGGCCAAGCTTGGATCCAGTGGGGAATTCTGTATCTATCCATCACCATACCTGACTGCAACAAACTTCTGAAAGCAGTGTCTGCTACTTCACTTCTATCTTCCAGGTTTCATGTAAGCTCTTCTTTCGGCCAATGCTAACTCAGAGCCATAACGGAAAGGGAATTCTGGAAAATAGCACAATTCAGAGTAGCATACTATTTTTTTCAATTTGGCAGCTATACATCTTCTTTTAACCACTTCCAAATGAAGATAATAGCAAAATCATGCTTCCACTTAAGAAGATGTAACTACCCCTCATACAGCTGAAAAGGCACTGATCTTTCCCACAGAATACACAAATGAGATCCATCTTTAGATGATGTCCATTTGTCTTATAGCTGGATCGCACTCCTTCTTTGGTATCTTGTAACTTACATACTAATGTATAAAGTTAATATTTTATGTTATATAGTGGAAGAATGGGAGAGAAGAACAGAAAAAAATGGTGTGTATGTGTATCCACATATGCATGAATATATTCATATCAAAGAAAAAATAGACTCATAAGTACTACAATCCTCATTTCCACAACAGCTCACGTGGTCTTAGCTGCTATTTACAACCTCCTTTGTACCAAGTTAGTATACTCTGCTCTCAGCAAGCAGCCAGCTTTCCTCAAGGGTGACCCAAACCTTCATTCCTGAAAGATCTGTATCATTTGCAGTCCTACTATATTGGGTTGTTGTGGCTTTCTGTCAACTTTTTTCATGGCACACAGGAAGTATGAAGAGGTGTCCCCGGAGGATCTATTGAATTCCAGAGATGTCCCCTTCTGCCCCCATTGGGTAGTTGCAACCTAATTTCCCCTTTAGGAGTAGGATCAGTCAAGTAGCTAATACAGTAAGTCACTTTTTTGTGTGGTTGGTTCAGTGGCATGAGAAGACCCGAATGGCCAGGTTACAGTCTCAGCTTCTAGTTTGCTGGAATCTTTTTTGTATCCCTAGTGGAAGCACTCTTCCTTTGGGACTAAGACCTCTAAACCAACAGCGCACAAAGTTGAGGGAATGGGAAGCACGGTTTTTGTTAGTGGATCATTAGAGTTATTAATAAGAAGAACAATCCCATTTCCATCCCTTAATTCTTGGAACTGAGATAAAAAGCACCATATGGTGGTTACTTACTCAGTGTATATATTGCATACTGTAAGAAATTATTCTTGCCCTGAAAAGTGTTGTCATCCAGCTGGCACCACAACTAAGTCTTCAAAAGGCCATTCCCCAATCCCATCAGGGCAACTGCTTCAAAATGATGGAGAACATGATAAGCCCAGTGAATTCTATGAGCTTGAGCCCATTGCTGTCATTCGTTTGGTATAAAACCAGTTTTCTGTTCAGAAAGCAATGCTGTGTGGAATGCCATGAGGATGAATGAGCCATTTCATGGTTCACAGAAGGTGATTTTGCCAGAAACATGGCAGGCAGGAAAGGCAAATCTATATCCAATTCAGACCCCTGGGGAGGATTTTCCATAACCATTGTCGTTAGGGCCTCTCCTGAGTGGGGTGGTGGTGCAGCAGGTGTCCACTTTTGGGTGTTGCTGGCGTACCCTGAAAACCCATCTGTAATCAGGCCTGAATTTTGTCTTCCTTAGGATAGTGGACACAGAGAACTTCCCAAGAGGCCAGAGGTATGGACGGGAGACAGAGGAGACAATTAATAGGAATAAGAGCCATAGGAATCTGAGCCAGTTGCTCATGCAACTTACTTGTACCTTCAGGACCTGCTTGAGCCCGATCTTACATATATTATTTCCATTCATGCTGCAGTGCTGCTGTGCATGCTCAACATAATGGCTTAGTGGGTCAAACAGTATCTCGTTCAAAATGAGCAGTTCGGGTTCCATGACAACTTGGTAGTCCAAAGTCAAGCATTCAGTCTCTCACAGGGTCCAGTAGCAAACCAGAAGCTATTTCTTCAAAGGACAACAGTTCTCTTTAGAAGATGGCATAGCATTGCCTCAAATCCTACAGGTCTGTGCTGTAATTCACCGAGGATCCTCCCAGGGCCCCATACAACATCCCCATCTGTCACAGACATTTCAAATATCAGTGGGTCTTCCGGATGAAAGGGCTCAAGTGCCGAGGGGCTGGTGCACAGCTTGGACCCGTTGCAGAGCCTTCTCTCACTGGGCCCTACTGAAAACTGGAAACCCACTAAATGTTGCGTTTTTGTCTTTGGAGTAGGAAGGGCTAGGTGCAGCAATTTATTCTTCACCTTAGAAGAGATATGTGGACCATGCCCCAGATCAGTGGACATAGTCACTAAGGTGGAAGTTTCCAAAACTTTCATGAAATTTATTTCTTACCCTTCAGATATTTGCTACTTCCTGCTCATCAGGTCCAATCAACATACTATCATTGGTATAATGGGCCAAGATGATATTTTGTGGAATGGAGAGGCAATAAAGATATTTTCAGACTGGGTGATGAGAGAGGGCTGTAGAGTTGATGAAAGCTTGATATAAGACAGTGAAGTGAATTGCTAGCCCCACCAGTGGAAAGCAAACTGCTTTTTGTAGTCTTTATTATGAGAGATAAGAGAAAAAGTATTAATCAGATCAAGAGCGGCATACCAAGTACCAAGGATTGTATCGGTTTGCTCCAATTCGGAAACCTCATTTGGAAGAGCAGATGTGATTAGAATTATGACCTGATTAAATTCACTATAATCTCCCATCATTCCCCCAAATCTAGCTTTTCTTCACAGGCCAAATAGATGAAATAAATGGGGTTGTAGAACCACCACATGTCCATTCTTTAAAGCCTTCGTGGCGGCACTATTCTGAGAATGCTATATTGCCTTTGGTTTACTATTTGGGCAAGTAAAAGTAGTTTTAGGGACTTCCTCCTGGCCTTTTCTATCATAAAGCTCTCACTCCATAATTTGGGGTTCGAACAATGTGGGGATTCTGTCATTTGCTGAATATGTAAATTCCAACTCTGCATTTCAGAACTGGGAAAATAATCATGGATTGGGGTTGGCTTTCACCAGGTTCACCATGAGTTGGGCTCAAACCCAAATTCCACTTATTCCCTGACTTCTTAGGCCCTACACTGACTGTCATACCACAGTGACATTTTGGGTGCTAGGAATCAGCATTAATTCTGAGCCAGTAAGCAGTAATACTCAAATTCTGGTTATTGTCCCTCCCCTAACATACAAGAATACTGGTAAGTTGCCACAAGTATCTTTGGGGAAGGGTAGGTGAAAGATTTACAGTGTAGCAGGATTCCTCCTCAAGGAGACTTGCCTCATCTTAATTTGAGGGGCTCTGCATCTTCTTGATCCAGACTGAATCAAGCCTGGGAATCATTGGAGGATCCAGGATTATCTGCTCAGGGATTCAAGACAGATTTCTTTACTCCAGACCTAGAGTTTTTGTTATATACAAATCAAGTAAGACACTAGTAGGGTGTCTATATATTTGAATCCTAAGAAGATCACAATAAATTGGCTAATGCCAGAGATCAAACCATTCTGATGATCCCTTTAGCTCTGTCCATTATAGCAACCATGTTTCCCTTGTCTCTGGTAGTTAAGATAGTTAAGTCATGTCACTTGGTGCCTATCACTCCAGTATCCCACCAATCCCAGTGAATTCAGGGAGTCTAGTTTAACAATAGCATTAATGGCTTGTAGAGAATGGCAATACAAAACTATACAAGGATTTTGGTGTTTGCTTCATCAGTGCATTTCTTAAAGCCTTGATGAAGGGAGTGTCTTCTGAACCCTCCTGAGTCATCATTAGGGGATGGCTGAACAGTTCTTAAATAATACATCCACTCCAGCATTCCAACTCCTTATCTTTCAGATACCTTTTGTTTATATAGTATGACATTGATTTATGAAAGAGATGAGTTTCAGGTACTACTTGACAGAAAACAGTTTCACAGTTTACATGTGTGGGTAGAAATGTGAGTAATATAGGACAAGGCATAAAGATAGAAATGGGAGTACAGTAGTCCCCCCTTATCCATGGTTTTGCTTTCCACAGTTGCAGTCACCCTCTGTCAACCGTGGTCCGGAAGCAGTTGATCCTCTTTCTGACATTTCACCAGAAGGTCAATGGTAGCCTCACGCTAATTCACAACGCCTATGTCATTCACCTCATTTCATCTCATCCTGTAGGCATTTTATCATCTCACATCATCACAAGAAGAAGAATGAGTGCAGCAAGATATTTTGAGAGAGAGAGACCCTATTCACTTAACTTTGATGACAGTATAGTATTACAATTGTTCTATTTTATTATTGTTCTTGTTAATCTCTTATGGTACCTAATTTATACATTAAACTTCATCATAGGTATGTGTTTATGTATAGGAAAAAAACATAGTGTAGTAGGGTTCAATACTGTCTGTGGTTTTAGGCATCCACTGGGCATCTTGGAATGTATCCCCTGCAGATAAGGGGGGACTACTGTAATGAAGTAAGAGATTTGAGCAGACATAAAAAATTCAGGAGATTATTGATGAACCATAGAAGTTTGATGGTGGAAAAAGAGAAGAGGCGATAGTCCAAACTGAAGAGTTGCTGCTTCTGGGAAGAGGACTGGAAAGATAGAGGAGACTCTGTAATGAAACAGAGAGATTTGGGAGTAGGAAATCTACATGACACGAAAGAGAGCAGCGTGTCAAAAGTGATTTTGAGGTTCATTAAGTTAGAGCTTGATATATTGTGGTATTAATAAGAAAGATGGGAAAACCATAGAGAGAAGGCATATGGAAGAGAATCGTTTGAAGGTTAGATGGGAAAAGATGTGACAGAGTACTGAAAAATTCAAAAATATAACTGTCAGAGGGGGCTTATGGAAAGCTGTTGTTATATGCAGTGACTTTGTAATGTGAACACTTGGCTAGGTTTACCTACATTCCCAGAATTCATTTCTCTGTATGTTTTTGGTTAGGGTGGTCCATAAGAGAGTGGGATTTGGAGGGTAGAAATGAAGCAGTAGACATTCTGAGGCTGCCACATGTTGTCATTTATCTGTTGCCTCACCTCATTGGTGTGTGGCAGCAGCCGAACCTGTGACTGGTCAACTTTTGCCAAGATCCTCCTTTATTTTCTGCAACATCTAGGCCAGGTGTGTGTGTGTGTGTGTGTGTGTGTTTAGTTCCATGACAAAGGGCCCCAGCTCATGTAGGACACCCAGGCCATCAAGGTCAGAGGCAATGACATGGGTTTCAGTCCATCCTCATGGGCTCATGTTTTTGAATTCTAGCTTGCTCTTAATTTTACCCACTTTACATCCATCTGCTCTTTCCAACTGGTTGCCATATATATATTTCCTTTACTATATTAGTCAGCATGCAATCAGAGAAGCAGGATCACCATATATGTGTGTGTATATATATATATATATATATATATATAAAATACACCACACACACACACACACACACACACACGATTCTGCTTCTCTGATTGTACCCTCACTGATATAAAGGAAATAGTAGTTTAGGGTAGTGATTCTCAAGATTTCAAAATCTATGTCTTATTTGCGTAAGTATAAATATTTGCATAAGTATTAATATTTCTCTTCTTTCCCACCCCACCAGTTGTAACAAACCTCTCTGAAAGAAGCCTGTCCATTAGGTGAAGGAATTCTAGTTTTCAGAGATATATGGATGGTATTTTTTTTTTCCTTTGCCACAAGGTAATTTAAAAAAAATGTGGTTTCTTTGTTTAAACAGTTACTAAGTTGGTTCATCTTTTAGTAACAGACCTTCCCTCCCCTAGTCCCCCCGACTCAGTCCTGTATGATCACATCATCATCGTCATCCTCATCTTCCTCCTCCTCCTCCTCTTCATCCTCGTCATCTTCTGGCAGTTCTTCCTCCTCCTCTTCCTCCTCTTCATCTAGACAAACCACCACCTCAGCTGGCTCAGGTAATCGAGAGTCAAACCAATCCAGTACCTGCTGGGTGCTAAGCCTTGATGCCTGACTCAGCTGAGGGATATCACTTTCCCATAGCTGTTGATGAGCTGCCCAGTACCTCTCCAAGGGTCGTATATCCGGTGGGGGTGGGGGGTTCGGCAGAGGTGGTGTCTCAGCCCATTCACTCAAGGAGCGGGTTGAAGGTGGGGGTGTGGGAATTGCTGGGTCCTGGAAACTAGGGGCACCAGGTACTGCATTGTCCCGAAACCATTTTAGTTGCCCATGCTTCAAGGCATAGCGTGTGTCACCAAACCACTGAATGATCTCAGGTCGAGGTAAGCCAGTGATCTGTTCTAATTTATGGTAATCCTCACGCCGTGCCCATTGGCACTGTAAAAAAAAAAGACTTGAGGATAGCCAGCTGCTCTTTGGTTTTGCGCTTGGTCTTTCGCTGGCGTTGCATATCTGGGGAAAGGTACTCTGCAGGGCCAACCCTACCTGATACTGAGTTATGTCTTAGCCCTTGGGGCCAGGCTGGCTCCAGATGTGGGGGCAGTGCCTGTTCATTGGGTGACAGTGGCTGTGAGATACAGCCCAGTGACTGGAGGGGTTTAGAGGTGGCAGTAGCTCCGTTAGCCAGTACTGGGAAAGTGGAAGAAGAGGTAGAGGGAGAAGGAGGAGTCATATTAGATGCTGACTCCTGCTTACAACTAACTAGCAAGTAGTGAGATTGGTGGGGGCTTATCCCGAGCATGTGGCTGGTGGACAGCTGTGGAGTGATTCCATGAAGCAGAACCTAGGCCATGTGACTGGTTGGGACCCCTGCCTGCCTGCTCCTTAGAGAAGCCACTGCTTTGAAGATTCTGCCAATAATCGGATTGGTGGGGGAATGTCCCACTGCCAGGTGCCATCAGGGGTTCCTTTGCTTTCTGGTGACTCAGCAGCTCTGAGGACTCCTCAGGCTCCACCTTCAATCCTTTCATCTGGGTGGGCTCACTAAGAGTCAGGGGCACTATTCCAAGACCCACTTGTTCTGGAGGTGGCATCAGAGAAGGAGGCACCTCCTCTGGGGGCCGCCCTGCACGATGAGTAAAAGAGAGAAGGGATTTGAAATGGAGCTGGTCCCGATGGTAGACCACTCGGGCTCGAGTCTCTTCTATTTCTTCAGATGACCAGCTAATGCCACAGCGGAGGCGCTGGGCCATGAACCAAGTCTTGACTTTCTCCATCTGCAACCCATAGCGTAAGCAGAGAAGGGCAATGTCTGCTAGACTGGGATAGGGAAAGTAGCTGAAGGTTTGTAGCAAGTGTTCATTGCCATCCAGCTCACTGGTCTGGGCTGCTTGGGTCCACACAAGTTGTAGCTCCTCGGAGATTGGAGGGAGGCAGATGAGCCCCGCCGGGGAGCTATTAAGACAGCTCGCCTCTTTATTAGGAGGCATGGTGCTTTCTGATTTGTGCCCTTCAGAGATAGCGCAGTCCGGCCCGGGCGGCGGCTCCCAGCCTTGCACCATGGGCCGGGGGGAAAAGGGGAGAAAGGGCAGGGGTCCTCCGGGGTGGGAGTGGGGTTCCCGCCCGGTGCGGCCTGCTCCAAGCCCACCCGCGCGGAGGGCCGGGACCGGGACTGCCCCTCCGCCCCGTCCCCGAGAGCGCGCCCGTCTTATGGATGGTATTTCTTAAAATGTTGTTTTCATTTAAAAAAAATATTATACTATGATAATGGCCCGTCTTATGGATGGTATATTCTTAAAATGTTGTTTTCATTTTAAAAAAATATTATACTATGATAATGGCTTTGGTTTTTAAATTAAACACATCCACTTCCACATATTCTTAATTGTTTGTTCTTCTCCAGTCCTTGCCTCTTTCCCATCACTCTTCTGGACAATAAAGATTAGACATTCAGGGCGCCTGGGTGGCTCAGTTGGTTAAGCATCTGCCTTCGGTTCAGGTCATGATCCCAGGGTCCTGGGATCGAGCCCCACATTGGGCTCTTTGCTTGGCGGGGAGCCTGCTTCTCCCTCTCCTTCTGCTTGTGCTCTCTCTCTCAAATAAATAAATAAAACACTTTTTAAAAAGATTAGACATTCGGATTCTTCTTCAACTTTGTACATAGAAAGTCACAGGAGACTATAATTCACTCCCTACACCCAATACAGACCAAATAATCTACATAATTATAGTTTTTAAAAAAATCAGAGAAATGAGAGAACGAAGAAACCTAAGTGAACTAAATTTTAGAAAATGACAATCCTTCAGATGAGAGGAAAGATATGCAGTGGTTCTCACCCTTGACCGAAGTGGAGGGAAGAGTAATCCACCATAGATGATGGTAAGGAGAAATCAGCCTAACTTTTAACAAATTTTGACGGCAGTGTGTGGACCGTGCATAGGTTAGAATCCAGAGGAGTCATAGGCACAGAAGAAACTATACTACCTCACAGTTCTTTCTGTGATATTCACTAACAGGTAGGGCCACGAAAACAAGGGCAGTGAAGAAGAGCTGGGGAGAAACTTTCAGAGATACATTGGGCTTTCAGCTAAGAAAGTTTTGTAGAGGGATAGAAGAACTGAGAGAAGACCCCTGGCCCTCTAGGCATTCAGCTCAGAAAGATTGGGAATGGAAGTGGGAGAGAACTGAGATCCTCCCCCAAGGCTTAAAGCTAAGGAAGACATCAAGCAGAGCAGAAAAGCTGAGAATAAGAGCTCTAAAACAATATTTGCTTGAAGGAAAAGTCCTGTCCTGCCTTCAAAATATTTGAAGCCAATGGTGAATTGACTCAAACTATAAAACTATAACAAACCCCAAATTCAGCTTAACTATAGATCATACAGACTCAGCCTAAATTCTGGTGGCATTATAGGAGAAGATGTATTTGCCTCTTTTGGAGGAAAACATCATTTAATTCTTTGTCTACTGTATTTTTACATAAAATACCTAGCACATAGTAAACAATATTAAGAAACATAAAAACAAAACAAAACATTAAAATGTAACCCATGATCAAGAAAGGAAAACATCGGGGTGCCAGGGAGGCTCAGTCAGTTCAGCTCAGGTCATGATCCAGGGTCCTGGGATCAAGTCCTGCATTGGGCTCCCTGCTCAGTGGGGAGCCTGCTTCTTCCTATCACTCTGCCCACCGCAGCCCCCCGCTTTTGCGCGCGCTCACATGCGCACTCTCTCTCTGTCACTCTTTCAAATAAATAAATAAAAATCTTTAAAAAAGGAAAAGAAAACATCAATAGAAGTTAACCAAGAAATAGTCCAGATTTCAGAATTATCACAGTATGACAAAAATGCTAAAGGACTTAAAGGAAAAGGTAAAAGCCATGTATGAAGATATGAGTAACTTCAGGAAAGTGATGGAGAGTATAAAAAAATGGAAATACTAAAAATAAAAAACACAGTATCATAAGTAAAGAGCTATTTAGATGGGTTGGCTTAACAGTAAGGTGGACAATACAGAGGAAAGAAATTTAGAAAGAGATAAATAGAAGGAAGGCATCCAAACTAAAAGACAAAGAGAAAAAAAGTAAAACAAAACAGAGTATTTTAGATATATGGAACAATGTCATGTGGTCTAATATTGTATCACTGGAGTAATAAAAGGACAGGAGAGAGAGAATGGGCAGAAACAATATTCAGAGAGGTAACAGATCCCAAGCTAATGAAAGATACCAACTTATAGTCCAAGAATTGCAGCCAACATCAAGAAGAATAAATACAAAGGAAAGCACACTTAGGCACATCATAGTCAAAATTTTGAAAGCCAAATTTAGAGAGACCGTAAGAGCAGCTAGAGAAAAAAAAAAGACACTGTACACAGGGAGTTAAAATATGAACTACAAATAACTTTTAATAAAAAATTATGGGGACAGAGATGGAATTATGTATTTAAAGTGCCAAAAGGAAAAAGAATTGTCAACCTGAAATTTTATATACAGTGAAACTTATCCTTCAAAAATGAATGTGAAATAAAGACATCCTCACACAGACAAAAGCTGAGAGACTTTATCACCAACAAACTGCACTTCAAGAAATGCCAAAAGTTCTCGAGGCCAGAGAAAAATGAAACCATACCTGCAAGAAGAAATAAAAAAGTATCAGAAAGGACAAATCCCTGGACAAATAAAAAAGACACATATATTTTAGTACCTTCATTATATACACATATTTACAATTTTTTAAATATCAACCCTCCCCACCAACAAGGTATGGTGGGTTTTATAACACATAGAAGTAAATATATGCCAGTATCATAAAGGATGGGAGAGGGATAAATGGAATTATGCTGTTGTTTCTTATATATTCTTAACACAGAATAATATTATTTGAAGATAGTTATAATTAAAGACGCAAATTGCAGTTTCTAGAGGACCACTATATTTAACATACAGGAGAAAAGCTACAAAGACAACATAGGAATATGAAAAAAAATACCTAATTTGCCAAAGATTCAGGAAAAGGAATAGAGAAACAATTGACAAGTGGGAATGAATAAGTGAAAACTCCCTCCAACCACAATTATTGAACACTGAATGTCTTTGGAAATTAGTGTTTGCTACAGACTTGATGTTTTTCATTAATTCAGCCTAAAACTATAAGGCAAAGCAGAGCTATGGGTGAATTGTATGCTGTAGTTAGATCATTTTGATATGACTAACACTGTTGCAATCACAAATAAGAGCTGCTTTATAAACTTCCCATGCCATCAGAAGTTAAAACAAGAAGCAAGATCTCCATTCCAACACAAATTTTCAGCAGTTACATTTTTCTGAAGTCAAACTAAAATTCCAATAGTGGTTTTTGGATTATGATACAAGTGAAAAGGAAATTTCCGTATTTAAAATCCATTTTACTGTGCACTTCCACCTAATTTTCCATTGAAAGTGATTAACCTGCAATGTAATGGCATGCAAAGGGGAAATATCAAGAGAACTTAATAGAATTTTTTTTTTAAGATTTTTTTTAAAATTTATTTGACAGAGAGAGAGAGACAGCAAGGGAGGGAACACAAGCAGGGGGAGTGGAGGAGGGAGAAGCGGCTTCCCGCTGAGCAGGGAGCCCTATGTGGGGCTCGATCCCAGGACCCTGGGATCATGACCTGAGCCGAAGGCAGATGCTTAACGACTGAGCCACACAGGCGCCCCAGAATTGTAATAGAATTGTATAAATGCCTTCTAAGCAATGAATATGCTTAAGTAAAACCATATGCTCATGGGTTGTCAGTACCTATCTGGGTGAGAAAATATTTTCAAAAATGAAATATGTAAAATTTCACTACAGATCAGCATTAACAGATAAACAGATAATTAGTTTTGATGATAGAGAACCCTTACTCTAACTGGTGTTCAACTAAGTAAAATGTTACCCCCCACAAAAGTAATTCCATTCCTCTCATTATTAGACTTGATTACAATTATTATTACACCTTACATTTTGTCAATAATGTGGATATTTATTTTCTCTCTTGTTATAGAAATATCTGCATAATGCCCTCAGTTTTGCCCCTTTGCACACAAACTCTAAAATATTTTTTATCTGGCCCTTTATAGAAAGAAATTGCCAACTGGTCTAAAGGCACAGTTTTCCACAACTGTTGTTTTGTTTTGGAATCACATGCTTTCTAATTCAAACTACTACTTCTATGAGTCACTTGGAGAAGGTAAAAAGGAGATAGAAATGGAAGTTGAGAGTTAATTCAGTCCTGAGGTTAAGTAATTGTAGCTAACATCGAGCTGTAATATTTATAGTAGCAAGTACTCAGGTAATTAAGCACTTTGTATATATTTGCTCATTTACAGGAATCTTATGAGGTAGGTACTATTCCGAACCTTTTACCGAAGCTGAGAGTTGCCGAGGATCTTATTGGTAAGTGATATAGAGGGTTTACAGGATTTAATCTAGCGATAGGACATCAGAATCAATGTCTGCAACATAAGTAGAGGATCAAGGGAAGATAGATAATTGTTGGGGGGCGTGAGGGGGTGGGGGATAGAGGTGGGTGGCAGGTGGTCCAAGGTAGAGGAGCCGGTGTGGACATGAGATCTCTTGGGGAGAATAGGACTACCAGGTGACAAAGACTGGTAAGATCCCTGGAGGCTCACAAAAACCGGTAATTCCCACCTGCCAGCAATAGGACTCTTTTTTACCCCAACCCCTTTTAATCAATTCTGCTTCAGAATTCCCTGATGAGTGCGTGAAGAGGTCTGGATACATTTTGTAATGTGGAGAGTTGAAGATGAGTAGGAAAAATCTGTAGCGTGGGGATCTGGGAAATCTGTCCTTTTTTACACGTAGATATACACACATTATAGGTACATATTCATACCTATGTATTTATATATTTGTAATATAACACACATCCACACACCTAACCCTATGTGTGTATCAGCAGGGTTTAGAATTTAAAACACAACTATGTTCTCAGGGTTTTGCAGCGGCCACTTCACAGCATTTTAAGAGACTACGAATGACAATAAAAATAACAGTGATCAGACCACATGTGCTCAAGGCTAGAACCCTCAGCCCCGCCGGCTTTTACTTCCCCTCGATTGTTTTTCCAGCCAAATACTCCTCCCCTGGCAGGATCCCAGGGTCATCCCCCCGGCCAATGACGGTTCCAGAGAAGCGGCCCCGGGGAGGGGTGTTATGTTCAGGAGCACGTCCTGTCAACTTTGCAGCCGAGTCACCTATTTCGGTTGGTAGCGGCCGCTATTTCTTTAAATGGACAGCGGATTTCGAAACGGCAGGAAGGGGGGTCAGGAAAAGGAACTCAACCGCCTTTGATAACTGCCCAGCAGCCTTCCCTTCCCCAGAACGCGTGTTCGGTTGGGGAAGCGCCTGCGGCGGCCGCATTCCTCCCCTCCCCTCCCGCGGGCGCGCGCGGCGCCTGCTCTTTTCGGGGCGCCCACCTTCGCGGGGAATCCCCCCCAACCCGGCCGTCCCCCTGCGTCTGCGGCGCGGCCGCCCGGCTTTGTCTCCGGCGGCGTCGCGCTCCGGCGCTCGCGCTCCCACATTTCCCCGTGTGCAGCTGTAACCCGATCTCCCATTTCCTGGTGGATTCTCTTAAAGAGGCAGCGGCCGAGAAGCAGAACAAAGGCTATTGTTTTATTTCCTCCTTTGGATTCCGCGTCCTTACCGGAATGCCCCTTCTTACATGATTATTCTCCTGGCCTCTGCGCCCGGGCTGGGGCGGGGGGTGGGGGAGAGCCCTCGTGCATTTCGGTGTATCCGAGACGGAGCCGGGCAAGGTGGGAGGCGTTTCATAAAAACCTGTCTTGTGGTTTCTGGGGCCCCAGCGTAACGTTTTTTCCAACGTGTCTCCCTAGACCAGGCGATTGCTCGGCGGCGCCTGGGCAGCCCGGCTCCCCCGCCGGCGGAGGGGCTCGCGGCGGGCGCGCGTGGGCCGCGCCGCGGAGGGCTGCGCCGCGCGCTCCGCCGGCGGCCGCGGCCTCGCGCGGCCCCGCTCCCCCGGCTTCCCTCCGCCGCCGCCGCCCCTCCCCCCGCCCGGCTTTTATTTCCCCGATGCCGGGCTGTAACCCGAGCTTTTATTTCCTGGTGGCTCCTTTAAGAGGCAGAGCTCGGTGCTGGGAATTCACGTCAGTTTCTGCACTGAAACTCTCAAGATCAATGAGCAAAGGGCTTTCTCAGTTCTGCCTTTCAGTTTCTCTCTTCCAGGAAGGAAAACATTCGAGAGAGCGAGGGAGAGCGGCGGGAGGGCGGGGGGCGGGGGCGCCGGCCGCGGGTGGGAGGAGAGAGCGGGAGGCCGGCCGGGCTGCGCCCCGGGTCGCCGCGCCGCGCCGCGACCTGCAGACCCCGCCGCCGCGCTCCGGCCCGGCTCCCACGCCCCCGCCGCCCCGCGCGCCCAACTCCGCCGGCCGCCCCGCCCCGCGCGCTCGCAGACCCCCGGGGCGGCTGCCGGGAGAGATGCTGCAAGAAACTTCTTAAATGACCGCGTCCGGCTGGCCGTGGAGCGCTTCTGGGTTGGGGAGAGGAAAGGAAAGTGGAAAAAAACTGAGAACTTCCTGATCTCTCTCTCGCTGTGAGACATGTCTGAGACTCCTGCTCAGTGTAGCATTAAGGTAAAGATCTTCTCCTCCTCCCTCTCTGTGATCGAAAATCTTGAGCTGCACCGGCCGGGGCAGTCCTGCTGGGCTCCTCCGAGGGGGCTGTGGCAGTTGCTCCGGTCGCAGTGAATTATTTGGGGCGCCGGGGAAGGAGATGCAGCTCGCGGCGGCGGCTGTACCCTTTCGTGTAACCTTGCTGCTCCCCCCGCCGAGCCCCTTCTCGGCTTCTCGCCCCCCACCCCACCCCCTACCTTTTTGACAATTAAATGCCCGTCACAATTGGCCAGGAGGAACCCGAGTGGTCTCTAGAACTGTAAAACACCCCCGTAATTAGTGCGCTTTTGTAAAAAAAAAAAAAAAAGAAAAGAAAAGAAAAAAATCGTGCTCCTACTCCTACTCCCAACATGTGACTGAAATGTAACTTTTGTTCCTGAGGGGTGGTCTCCTTAGAAAAAAAAGTTCGTCAGCCCCCGTTGGGGATGCAATCTTTTTTTTTTTTTTCCCCCCCTTAGAGGACTGCCTGGGTCAGATCAGACTGGATTTTTTCTCCTCCTCTGATTGTAATTGCAAGCGCTGTCGGAGAGACAGTCCTGGTGTCAGCTTTTCCTGGGCATTTGCACAATGAATTTCTCTCTTTCTTTTTTAAACCGAGGTAAATAAGTTGCCGAATGCTTATTTTACTCCCATGCATGTGAAAGTTGAGTAATCCCAAAGTAGAAAACTCCTGTGATGCAGAGAGAGAGAGAGAGAGAGAGAGAGAATTATCTAAGTGAGCAGGCAAAGTGACCTTCCCTGTTTGACAGTGCAGAGAGGATATCTAAGAGTAGAAATCTCCCGGCTTTCTGGTCGTGTTTTGCAGTATTGTAAATGCAGGGTGGTGGATGTTTGCAAACACCGTACTTGGCTTCCAAGTAGTCATGTGTGTACACGTATATATGTCTGTATCTATAGAGCTGGTGGTACTGTGGTTTGTTGCTTCTAAGAAGTTGTAAAGTTTGCCACCGTGAGGAGGCAGGATGATTTGTCCATTTCCCCCAATTATTTTTCCCATGGCTGCGTATACTGTGCACTTTATTTATTTCACTATTCCATCAGTCCCCAGGTGGAAAGCCTTCTGCTTCTGTGAGAGGCCGAAACCACTGAAGTTTGTTTGTTTTCAGCTTGGCCCATTTAATATGTGCTCATTGAGTGGACGCTGCAGAAACAATGAACAAATAACCTGTTTTCCTCATCTGGGGGGAATTAGAGAAACCTTTCCTGTTTCAACACTGCTTTTCCAATAGGAAACAGTATTTTGTTTAAAGTATTCCTGTTTCAAGGAAACAGTATTTTATTATATTTGCTTACTAGGTTTTTGTAATTAGACTTAGATTTTAGTGTTTCTCATCAGGTGAGATTTTCATGGATTTTTAACATAGGGCTAAAGTGAACTAAAAAAGTGGGTTGGGTTTCTTTGTTTTTGCCTCACAAAAATGCCCAGGGGCACTTGAGGGCTTTTGTGTTTGTAGATACCTGGGGGCAGCAGAATGTCTGTGGTGGAGAGGGTATCACAGTAAATAATTTAAGGTACTTGGATACTTCAAAACTAGTTTCTTTTGCTGTATAAATTAGCTTCTACAATGAGCACGGTACAGATAATTTGACACTTAATAACACAAACAGAGGTAACTAAATAATAGGGTATTAAATCAGTAAATTGTATTTGATGGCAATAAATCCCACATCAGGAAAACCTGGACCAACGACGGGGCGGTAATTTTAGGCTGAAAACAAACAAAAAGCTATTCTTTCTGTGACTTTTCTTGATACCTCTCTTAAAGAGACTGCATGTCCCCACTGTTCTGATGGGCTTATTTCTAGTGCTACTGAGTGGCTTGTTTCATCCTACTCTAGTGGGAAGAGTTCAGCAGCCCCTTTCCTTGCACAGACATACAGAACTAATCTCCAAACCCAGACAGAACACTGTCTTAAATGTGACATAAAAATTGCAGCCATAGTTTGCCTGTCATTTTTTTCCTTTTTGCTTATCCTTTCAGGTTTTTTTCGGTGCCTCTTTTCATGACTGTGTATTTCTATGTAATTAACATAGATGGAATACTCTTCACTAGTAACGAAAGTATCACTTGTATTTGAATGGTTCTTCACCGAACCAGAACCAGCGTAGAACTGTTGGCTTAGACCGTGTGTATGTTTAGGTGCACACATGTGAAGTGTGTTTTTTTCCAAGGAGTTTGTTGAATTCACAGTGTTCCAATAATAAGTGCCTCAGATCAAGGACTTGGGATTATTCTGGGTCATCTGAAAATGTGCTGGTGATGTGTGCAGTGTTTCATTTAGTCCTTGGGATGTGGTACAGTGACTGCATAATAAAAAATGTTTGCTGGTAACCCGCAAGCAAGTTACGGGGATTGCTTCTAGAGTCCAGTAAACAATAACTTTTCTGTGGAGCGGAGAAGGAATGTCAGAAGCTTTCAAGGATGAGCTGATGAGTCCGATGTATTGAAGACATGTGATACGGAAGCCTCCCTCTGTGTGGAGAGATTTCCCTCACTCCTCCACTCCACTCCTGAAACCTTCCTCACTTGTTCCCATTCCTTACAAGCAGCTGGTCAGCAAACAGTAAATTCCTCAGCAGCTTGTGTGATAGAGCACAGAGGAGCCTGACCGGAGGCAGCCACAGAGGGAAGTACTTGGTTTACTTCTGAGCAGTGTCTGTTCTCCTGGAAAAGCAAAGTGTAGAATTTAGGTGCAATTTCCAAGGTGAAAGTTTTTGACTCGGTCAAGCAGTGACACCTTTGTATAGATCGCTTCTGTGGTGGTAGTTGACATCGAATGCCTGATAAGCACCTTTTATATTTCTTTTGAGCTTTGTAGGCATCTTTTCATCACCTAGGGAAGTGAGTACCAGACACGCATCGTACACAGAAGACAGGTTGACTAGCCCAAGGTTACCCAAACCGTCACGGAGCCCCACCGTTTCTCTGCACTGGGCTGCCCCACGTGTGCAAGGGCACTCTCATTCAAGAGTTTAAATGCTTCCTTTGCTGACCAGTGGAGTGGTTCAAATGTAAGGACAGGGACAACTGACTATATAAAAAAACAAATAATTTTTTTCAGAGGCTTGAGTGGCTGACTGTGCTGGTCACGGGAGGAAGGAAGAGGCTGTCCTTTCCATCATCAGCCTTCACCTTCAAGTCACCTGTTCGGTTTTAAGTTCAGCCGACTTGCTGCGGAAAGTGGTGATGGCCCAGCAGACACAGTCCTTCGCTTCTTGGCATGGTGCTTTAGTTGTGAGGGCCATCCAGGTTACCAGACCTAGTGGCCTAACTGCCCCTTCCCCCTTTCCCTGCCCTCCCTGTTTGTCTCTACTCTCCAGTATGGTTGGCCTTCTTAGCAGAAAGAAATCTCTTTTTATTTTGCTACTAACTGGGACACTCCGGGTTTCCCCTACTGGACTCTGAGCTCCTTGGGTTTAGCGATGGTTATCTTTGTGTCCCAGTACCTAGCTTGGCACCTGGCACAGAAGTGTTCCTCAGTAATGTTTGCTGATTTGAAGTGAGGCATGGGAGGAGGTCAGCGCCCTTTCCTGTCTGTTCCTGTGTACCAGAGGGTGACTTAACACTTTTATCCATTAGCTCACGGGAAGTATTTAATAAGTCCGCACTGCTGTCTCAGGGGGGCCTAGAACACTCTCTGGGTGTCTGTCCAAAAATGATTATCAGTAGAATTTTGGTATAATGATACTGTTTTTATTATTTTCATAAAATGAAAAAAAACACTTGTGTATCTAAACAGACAAGGGAATTGAGTAAAAGATGATAAAGGGGCTTGAAGAATCACTTTAGAAGGCTCAGATTAGTAGGCTTGCCGGTTTTCCCGTTTCTTGGACAATTGAACCAGGGAACCTTTAGGCTTTCAGAACTGGAAGGGCTTAGGGATCACCTGGGCCAGCCTCGTATTTTCATAGAGAGGAGGTCCAGAGAACGAAATGGCTTGCTCCAGCTAATTGGTGTCTGAGCCAGGTTTAGAGCACCATAGGCCTCGTTCTCAGGCCCCTGCACTGCATTTGCTGGGTTCATGGTGCATCCCTATAAAAGGCCAAGGAAATTCGATACAATAGGCTGCACTCTCTCTGGCACTTCCTAGCTTGGTCCATTTTAATCCCAAGCCAGCTGGTATGAGGGCACGGAGATATGTGCCAAGGAAGATGTGTGTGGGGGGAGCACTGGGCCCAGAGGGTATATTGTTAGATGTGAGAAGAGGAAGTAGTAGGAGTAGGGGATCAGGGAAGAAGGGGTTGATGAACTTGTATTTGTACCACTGTTTGCAGCAACATTTTTTTTATTATGGTAAAAAACACACAGTGTGAAATTTACTATCTTAACCATTTTTCAGCGTGCAGTTCCGTAAGTGATAAGTATATTCACATTGTGGGGCAACAGACAGATCTCTAGAACTTTTTCATCTTGCAGCTCAGAAACTCTATACCCACTACACACTCATTTTCCCCCTCCCCTCCTCCCGGCCTTGGTAGCCGCCTGTCGATTTTCTGTTTCTATGGTTTTGACTACTTAGGGTACCTTATGTAAGTGGAATCCTATATTATTGTTACTTTGCTTGTTGTTAACGCCCTGGAGGTTCCTCCACGTGGCAGAATGGTACAGGATTTCCGTCTTGTTTTAAGGCTGCATAATACTCCGTTTTACGTGTATGCCACATTCTCTTTATCCGTTCATCTGCTGATGGAGATTTCGGTTACTTCTATCTCATGGCTGTGTGGATAAAGCTGTGGTGAGCATAGATGTGTGATGACCGCTTGGAGATCCTGCTTTGAGCCCTTTGGATGTACTCCAAAGATGGGATGGGCGGGATGCAGCAACTCTTTTTTACAGTGTGTGTGAGAAGTCTGGTACGAAAGGAAGGTACAGCTGAAAGAAAATCTGTAAATCTCAGTTGAGCTGCATCTGCGCACACCGAGGAAGGTAAAGGGGTGAGGAGGCACGGGGTTATTGGGAGTAACTGGGGGAAGAGCAGTCTCGTTTTATTACCCATTTTTAAAAAGTTGCCCTTTGGTGTGGTTCTCCCAGCTGAGTGGCTCAGTGTTAAATGAAGCCCCCTAGGGTGTGGGGTATACAAACAGCATATTTTTCCCTGTGAATGCTACTGTAGAGAAAGCACTGGGGTTTGTTTTCAGGCAGAGTCCGGGACTGCTGTATTTGTTGTTAGACGTGTGTAAGAAACCAACCTCTGTGTGTATTTGTTGAATAGAATGAGTGTGAGTGCACTCAGGGTTCCCACGCCAGAGGGGCCGCGCTTAAAGATGGTTCCCTGCCAAACCTAGTATTTGGGGGCGAGAGACTGAATGAGCGAGAAGTTAGAATTATAGCCTATTAAACAACAAACACATTTTGATTTATTTCTGAACCTACAGGAACCAGACTGATGAAGTGTGGCTTGCTGGGGCATCTCAGGATGAGCCCCGATGAAGAGGCAGAAATGACTTGTGTCCCACATCATCTGTTGGTTAGAAATGAGTGCTGTTGCCTGTTGGAAACTGTTCCTTCAGTGTCGAAATATTACCACAAATATATTATTAGCTCTGTTAATTTGCTCTATAAGCCTTTCTTCTTAGATAGTGAACATGTACAGGTCAGCCTGGTCTTTGTAGAAATGATCTGGAATTTTCAGACTGTGGGGAAGCAGTGGGAGGGGTTGAAAAAGGAAGGCATTAGCCCGAGTTTGTTACGTGTGGACTCCCCGAGGGGCAGAGCTGCTTCTTGGTCCCGTGGACTGTGTTTATGGAAAACTCTGTAACACTTGCATTTTGGAGCTTTCCCCGTTCTGGGTAATTAAAGGGGTTTGTCAGCTGTTTTAGTGGTCATTGTGCCTACATTTTCTCCCCTTCTTCTGCTTCCTCCTTCTCTTCCTCCTCCTTCACCACCATCACCACCACCACCAGGTGTGGAAGACGACTGCCTGCTGGTCCGCCATGTGCGAAGTGTTTGATCTGCATTATCTCCCTTACTCTTCACAACTTTCTCAGGGATGCTGTTTTTCTCCCTATTTTACAAATGAGGATCCTGAAGCCTGGAGTGTTTTAAGTGACCCATTGGCCCTCAGACACCATACGTGGCCAAGCTAGGGCCTACAATTCCAGAGCATTCTCCACGACACTGTTCTCGGGTACAGCCATCTTCGTGAAGAAAATTAGGAAACTGATTGTGATGGGTGATGGTGGAGCCTCCCATGAGCCGGGGTGAGAGGCAGGAATAGGGCAGCAGAGATGTTTCCTTCCCATTCTGGGTCCCCTTGAAGGTGGGTTGTTCCTCACTGTTCCTCTCACAGCGGGGAGAGCCAGATGGTCACGCCACACAACCCAATGTCCAGGTCTTCCATTTTTCTTCCAGTCTCTGGTGTTCTCTAGTGATATTTTGTCTTTGGATAGGTTTCATGCAAGGCCCTCCATGTTCTCAGAAACCTTTCTTTTCCCTCTCTGCCTTTTTCTTCTTTCCCTGGCACCTAATTACTCCGTCCATTCTGTGGGTGACAGGCTGCACTGTGTCCTCTCATACTGCCCAATCTCAGCCTCTGCATTAGATACCTTTGCGTCACTCCCTGGTCAGTCTTTTCTGTCCACAGCTTTTTTATGTCCCCCTCCCTTGAAACTTTTTACACAATCCGTCAACAGAAAGTTTTTCTTAAACCATCCCTCACATACATTCTCAATACTATATGATTTCTAGGAATCTGAGGTCTTTTCAGGTATTCCCCGATTGTCCCACACCACCAGAGGAATAATCTTTTCTTCCCCCTCTTTCCTGGTAGCCTGACCACACTGGCCTCGTTCTATCTTACTTGAGCGAAGAGAGAATTTTGGCCATCTGAGTTCATAAAATTTGGCATTTGAACAACTTTAATGAAGCCTTTCTTCAGAACAGATATGGGGAAGGAAGCAGAGAGAGAGATGTGGGGAGGCAATAAGAGGGAATCTGAGAGAGCACAACCGAAATTTCTCATGAAACAGATGAGGAAACTGGGTCCTTTGGCATTTAAATAGCATGCCTGAGATCACACTGTTCGTGGTAGCTGAGCCAGAGTCAGAATTGGGTGTTCTGTCCTAGGACCATGTCCCTCTAACACCGCGGCAGAGGAAGAGTGGTAAAAAGCAGACAAGATTTCAGAAAGTGTGGCTTCATCGTGAAGACTCTTATAGAGTGGAGTGTATGGCACCACACAATGACTGATGATATTAATGATCATAATTATGACTTCCAAGTTAAAGACAAGCTTTAAGTTATGAGATTTAGGAAGTGAGAAAATGTAATGCATTTTGGAAAGCTATCCAACAAAAATGTTTGGCATAAAAATAATGTGAAGTTTTAAAAGGTTCAGTTATCTGGATGAATGACTTATGAAAAATATGTTACTCCCCAGTGAAGACAGGAAGGAGCTATCCAATAAATCTGTACGTTCACCAGACCTGTGTACTCCTTGGGGGTATTTTCCCTTTGTGTGTGGGAGTCAGACATACGGAAAACGATCTCATTTCCTGAATGACCTGAAAAGGATGCAGCGCCCTGCTGCCATGAGCACTGTGGGTGAAGTGCGTTCAGTGATATGTGTTGCCACGATGTAGTTCCAATTACCTCTACTTCAGATTTTTCATTCGCTTTTTTTTCTGTCTGATGTTCTTTGGTTATCTGTCAAGGAGATTTCCCTCAAGAGGGTTGTAAGTTGCTGGGAAGAGGGGACCAGTCATTGCCATACTGTGGAGCCCTTCTAGGGGACGAACACAGACACTGGAGTAGACAGGCCTGAGTGTGAGTCCTGGTTCTTGAACTTAATTAATCTTCATCTTCAACCTGTTAGCTCATCTGAAGTGGTAATAAAGATACCTCTCCCTTGGGGTATGTAAATTTCATAATGCAGTGACTTACTCTGTTAAAAAAAAAGTTCTTCCCCCCTCCCTTTATGTATCCTCCATAATATCTAGATCTAGAAGGAGCTAAGAGATTTTCTAGTCCCGGGCCTATGTTTTACAGTTGGTATGGCGGCCAGAGATGCTGATGGTTTGCTCCAACTCCTGTGGCTGGTCAGTGGCACCTCCTGAACCCAAATCTAGGCCCCCCCAAGTTGGCAGACTCCCAGCAAGCGTGCTTGCCGCTATGGACTGGGGTCACTCAGTCGTGTTGAGCAAAGCTCTTGGTTTAACTTTAATTGAATGCAAGCCTCAACAGTAGAAGAGATGAGCCAGCTGCAGTTACGCGGTAATAACCAAGGCCTTTTGCATCTCACAGTGAAGTTTTGAGGGAATAGCTGGGATGGTTCTGAATAAGTTTCAAAGATAAAAGAAAAGGAAAAAAAAACAAAAAACAAAACCCGAAGCCTGGAAGTACTGTCCAGTGACTCTAACTAGCATTATTACTCAGCCCTCAAGTATTCAGACCTATTCAGGGACCCGCTTGTTCACACAGTTGCTTATTATTTGTGGCCGGGGCGCGACTTGAACGAGGGCATCATTTCTTAAATCTGCTTTTGTTAAACAGGCAGTTCCATGTCTGTCTGACCACAGAGCAGACACTGTTTGCTGGCGGGGGGGGGCTGGAGGGGTGGGGGGGTGAATTTCCAGTGTCAAGAGTGGGAGTCGATGGCTCTCAGTGGAAGTTTATACAGAAGAGTTGGAGAAAGCCAAATGTGTGACTTTGGGGCATGAGGGAACCTTTGTTTTTAGATGTTGAGGGACTGAAGTATCTGTTTTCAGCAGCTCTGTTCTCTTAGCCGTGGACTGGAAATGCATTCCTGAGTTTTCCTCTGTATATCCATGTTAGATGAGGAGAAGACTTGGAGGCTGGAAAATGACCCTTTGTGAGGCAGAGTGGAGAGAACGTGGCTGCCTCTTCCGCCTGACCTCCCCCACAGCAGGTGTGGGCGCTTTAGGACTATTGGAGAAAGAGCATAGATTTGGGGAGAAACCGTTGCTCTGCCCTCCTCCTTGGAAAACACAAGTGAAAGTTTGTGATTTTCTTCTCAGCTGCCTTGTCCCCTTCCCAGTGGCTTGTGAGGGGCCACATAACTATATCTTTCCGAAGACTTATCTCTGTAACAAGCAGTAACCCCTGCTCCACTCACATCCCCTATATGTGAGGAAACAGTAACCAGAGATGAGATGCTGACTCTGAACTATTTCCTGGAAGAAATGAGCTGCAGGTAGAAATCAGCCTGATCATTAAAAAGAAAAAAAAAAATCAAGCCCCCAAGAACAGCCTGTTTGTCTCTGAAGTTCCCCTTTTCCCTAAGACTTCCCCTTGTTCCCTAGTGAAAGTGTGGGTCTGGGTGTGGTGCTGGTGGCCATTCTAGGAAACTGGGATTCGGGAAAGAACGGGGGAGGGCTCCGATCTGCCTGTCGGGCTGCAGGTGTGGCCAGAGCAGCGCTGGGTTCCCTGATGAAGAATCCAGGTCAGGAGACAATTTAGAGTTTGTATCATCCAGGGCCTGCTAATTAACACTCAGATCAATACATCGCACTGGGGTGGGCCAGGGGAGCTAGAACAGAGACTTGACAGAAAGGGGAGCAGGAGTTTGCTAAGCTGTCTTCTGGACTGCTCTGAGGAGCTTAGCCAAGGGAAGACTTTTCCCCATCTTTGTTCATTCGTTACTCATTGTTGCTTCTAGACTGTTCGTCTTTCCCACACTGTCCTGGACGGTCGAATCAGTCCTGCTGGAGGAGACTGCATAAGAGAGTCTCCTGACTCACCGGAGGGTCCAGCTATGTCTTTTCATGTACAGATGTGTGATCCCGGGCGGGGCCTCCGAGGGGACAGAAGGGAGTTCTCTTTTCTCTGGGCCTGGTTGTATGTGTGTGCCCAGCTTCCTGCCACAGAGTCGGCCCACCTGGTTTTGGGAGATGGAAAATCTGAAGGATTGGACTCCTGGTGCATTTTGCAATCGCTGTGTCCTTTTGACCTGAGATCTGGGAGGTTTTAAAAATCCATGTCATGAGGTCACTGGACGGGTGTTTCGCACAGCTGAGACCCATGGCTCTCCTCACTACCGGGTCCTGATGGTCATGGCCAGCGATGGGGTGGGGACAGTGGGTCTCGCTTGGTGCCTTTTGATATGGTCTGTATTCAAAGTGAGGCGAACTGGGTGGGAGAGCTGTCGTTTGGGATGGAGATAGGAGTAACGGAGATCTTCGGTCTGGGAGTGTCCTCTTACCCCTGCCTGGGAGGCCTGAGTGACCCCATGTGGCTGACTGCATCCCAGATCCCCTGGAAGGCTGCCAGATCCTTATTTGACTTTGTGCCATTTAGTCCTTCCGTTAGTCTGCTGACTTGAATACTTTAGGATGAGGTGGAAGGAGGAAGCGTATGAGTTGGAAAGGTAAGAGTCTTTACCCTTAGAAAGCTAGAGGAACGGAGGCTTGCGTTCTGAATTTTACATTATGCCTTTTTTGTGTCTCCGCTCTGGCTCTGTGCTTTTGGCTCTGAGTCGGGTGGTGTGGGTCCACTTCTCTGCAGGTAGAAGTCACCTGTAGGTCAGAGGCAGCTTTTTTTTTTTTTTTAAACATTATTTATTTTAGAGAGAGGGAAAGAGTGTGGGGGGAGAGGCAGAGGGAGAGGGAGAAGCAGACTCCCTGCTGAGCAAGGAGCCTGATTCGGGACTTGATCCCAGGACTCTGAGATCATGACCTGAGCGGAAATCAAGAGTCAGATGCTTAACCGACTAAGCCGCCCAGGCACCCTTCAGAGGCAGCTTTTAAACACGGTGGAATCCAGGGGGGCTGTTGGAGGGCACAGGAAGGCTGGAGTAGTGATCCTGTAATCTTTTTCAGCATGCTATAAGGGTATCTTTAACTTTCACCCAGATAGGCAGGGAGATGGGCAAAGGGACCTCAGCATTCGGTTACATGTCAAGTAGGGCACCTATTAGAATATCTGTCTTATTCCCACCCTTCCTGGAACTGTGGTTTTTCTATGCCACCTACCTTAGAAAATGAACAGGGCCCTGATACCAGTGGCAGGATATGTATTGGTCATCTTTTAGAAGCACGGTGAGATAGGTGGACAGGACCTTAGAGGGAAATGACCCTTAAAAATGAATGAAGGAAACAAGGTGGGGAACCATGTAGACTCCCTGAAAGGCCTTGTCATTCCTGCAGAGAGGGAAGAGGTGGGCCCAAGGGCATAAGTCAGTGTTAATGTTAGCTAGCTCTTCTGAGAATTTGTCTGTCTTGAAAACTTCAGTAAAGTGGCCAAATGGAGCTTCTCTAAACCAGGGGGAAGGCCTGTGTGTGCTTTTGTGGTTAGCTCTTGTGTTGAGCAGTCTGATTTAAGGGAAAGATGGTTCTGTGTACATTTCCATTTCAGTTGTGGTATTTTAAGGTTTACCATGGAGGAGGTGTGGGTGAATGAGAAGATAGTCCTCTTGCTTCTTGATTCAGTGAGATCTAGGTTACAGGTGAAAGTAAGTTCACAACGCGTCCACATTCTTATTTGGGTACATTTTAGGATTGCCTGCAGATCCGAGGGCATATCTAGTTATTCTCCATTGGTGTACATGCTTGTGGCCTGCCAGGCTAAATGCCAAGTGGATTATTGGAAAGAATTCACTTCACAGATCTGGCCCCCACATTGGTGTCTGTGATTCTTCTTGGGCTCTTGTATTGGGGTTCTCTTAAATCCTTTTGGGACTCCAAGTGGGGCCCATGCTGACAAGATTATGCTGCTTTGGGGAAGTTCTGGCTGCACACTTCCCCAAGCAGGGTGAAGCAAGTGTTAGTCCAGCTGGCTGCCTTTTGGGCAGTTGGCCATGCTTGGCACTTCTGAGTTTCTGGTATACCAGTTGCCAGAAAGGCGGCCTTTCAGCTGGTCCTAGTGTCCCCAGGGCACAAATGTTAGGCTTTGGAGGAAAATTTGTGATTTTATGTTCACTCCTTATTTTCGTTTATGTGCATTTATGGCATTATAGTTGAAGTTCATTGAAAGATGCCTCTGCGCTCCAAAGCCTAGAAAGTAGCTTCCTTGGGTGAGGGAGAGGTTCCTAGGTAAAGTTATCGAAGGCCCATGCTGAGGGACACACACTGGAGGTTGGAAGGAGCACGATCTAGGGACAACAGTGAGAGGGCTGACAGCATGCCTTTAGATGCTGTTTTTAGTTCTAATCAGGACTGTACAGTATGGCTCGTGCCTCCTTGGGCATCATTCTGCTTTTATTCCGAGGGTTCGTTCTTGTGACCCCGCATATGTGCATGTGTGTGCATGCTCACAGGGTCATAAGTCAGGGAAACGAGGGCATAATCTGTTCTCTAGCTTGTAGAGTGACAGGTTACACAAAACCCAGCCTTGTGGCAAGAAAACCTTACATATAGATGGAAAATATATCTCCTCGGAAGGTTGGCTTTCTGATGGGCTATAAACGGATTGTTAAACAGCAATGTGAGGGGCCGTTAACAAGCTGTTTCTAGGAGCATCTCCCTGGTCTGGTCTGAAAAGGTAATGTGTACATATTAGAGCTATGAAATAGTTTGCCTGTGGTGTTTATATGTTGGTAGATTGTGTGTGTGTGTGTGTGTGTGTGTGTGTCTTCAGGGGTGAATGAACCGAACAGATAACTTTCCATGTTGTTTATTTCCTCCTACATTAGCGTCCACGTTCTGTGGTGGGCTGTGTTCTGCCTAGTTTTTTTTAAGCTGGCTTAAATGAAGAGGTGTTTGGTCAGGCAAACTTCAGAAAGCTTCAGTATGTTTATGAAAAGATCCTATATATGTAATAGTTGCATTAAAGCTTGAGAATCCTTGGATGGATGGGTACATCACCTCTCCAGAAGCAAAGGAGCATTCAGGTCTCCCAAGTTCAGCAATGCAGGGTGCCTATTAGGTATCTAATCTTATTTGAACTTCTTTTCATTTTCAGGTGTCAGAGCTGAACACTGGTCCATGCCGTTTCTACTACTATTGGATTTTAATGAGAACCCTTTCTTGTTACTAGGATGCCATGCTTCTACTGTGTTCACAGCTGCTGTGTTAAAAAACAGGTGTCTCTTATAATCCTCTGACTGGATCAGTTTGCTAGCCTGGCAAAGCCTTATTATTATTGTTTTCATTTATTTATCTGTGTCCCACATAGGTCAGAGCCTGCCAGAGGCTGCTGATGAGCAGGATTAATGCGAGAGAAGCTGGGAGCTTTTCTTGATGGAGATTTCTGTGCAAACAGTCCATCTAAGATCTTATACCATAAAGACAGAGTTAAATAAAACTGTTCAGGATACGGATCACAGGGGAGAACAGCCAAAAGAGGAATAGTAAATGAATAGTTCTGTCATTCTTTAAAGGCCATCTTAAAGCCGGTGCTGCCACAAATGCCATCCAGGACTGAGGGGCATGAGTGGTGACAGGGCACACGAACAGATTCATCCAATGTTGCTTCTCAAGGCTGCTGGATCCCAAGCTTCTGGAGGGCAGATGTTCTGTCTTCTCCGGCCCGCAAGGCAAGCTGCTGTCCTGCTACACACCTCATCCCTCTCATGCTGTTCGTTCTTCTCCATCCTCACTGGCGCCGTCTTCCCTCTAGCCCCAGATTTCTCACTTGTCTGCCATCTCTCACCTTCCTACCTCCACTCCCTGCACTTTCCAGTCCGACCCAGAATGATTCTTTGCGAGTCAAAATTCAGTCACAGTCCCTCTTTGACCCTGCAGTTCAGGATGGAACCCAGCCCTTCGTCATGGAAGGCCCTGGGCAGTCTACCTTTCTAGAATCATTCTCCAGCCTCCCCCTTCTGTATTACCTTCCAACCGAGACCTGCTCTTCTCCCAAAACACATAATGCACCCTAATGCCTCGAATCTTCCCCTCATCCTTTTTCCGCCTGGTAGCCAATGTGTCATCTGAAGCCCATTTCTGAAGCCGTCCCTGTTGCTGACAGGCACAGCATCCTACTAGCCTTTGAACGTGCTGGCTATTGGCCATGACCCTGTTGCAGTTTGCTTGTCATCCTCTAGCTACAGTGATAGCCCGTGGGGAGCAGGAGTCCGATGGATTCATTTTTTTATATCTCCAGTTGTACAGCACGGTGCTTGGCGCGGGGCAGGTCTGATGTATGTTAGCTGAATAGTCTTTTTAAAATCAGCAAGTATTTATTAAGCTTCTCTTACGGGCTCAGTGGGAACTAGGCTCTGTGACACATACGTAAGTGTGAGATAAGCACCTTGCAGTCAAATCCTGAGTTGAAATCCTGAGCAAATAGCCCTTGAAGGTAGAGGAAGGAAGGAAGAGACCTCACTTTTGTTGTAGGGTTAGGACCACATGGCTGGGCTAACCGCACTGCCACTCCTCATACCTGAGACGTACGCACTGGACAGACACACAGGACCCGTTCACTCTTTCCCTCTTAACTGCCCACCTTCCGGAGAGGAGCACAGAGAGCTGGAGAAAAGACTGGAGAACCTGTAGGCCCAATGCAAAGGGAGATGCATGAACAGCCCCAAACGAGTAAACTTACTCACCAATGTGCCCTTTTACTTTGCTTGGCTCGGGATGCTCCTGGGCCCGGGAGAGAGAGCTGATGGCTGTGTTGCAGCCATGTGCAGTCTTGACATTGTTGGCTGTGGTTCTCTGGGAACCAAGGGTGTATCACCACTGCGTAGGGCTGCCTGTTGTCCCCTCACCTCATTCCTCTGCTAGCTGGTTGGCAGAGATAGCCTGAAAGAGCAGCCTGGCTTCCTGAGCCTTCTGTGAAGTCTGTGATTGCCTTGCCAAGGACAGGGAGGAATCTGACTCTGTACTTGGGTCAGCTCTTTTCAGCCTTCTCCTGATCCCGTGTTCTCTTCTCTACTTATCTGAGAAGCTGATCTTCTTGGAGCTCTTAGCTTACTCCTAACATGTTGCCTGGGGGGCCTAAACCAGAGAAAACAACCGAGCGTACCACGGGACTAGAAAAACAACTCAGAGCCGTGTCTTACGGAGGGTACGACAGCCTCACCATTTCTGTTGACAGTGGACAACTCAGTGCTCCTTACTTAAAGAGGAGGCTTTTAGGAGATGGTGTTAGGGTTATGAACAGTCTGGTACGTGTGAAATGGACCAACCGGCAGAAGTCGGGTATTTTCAGGTATAAGGAGACACACCTAGACCTTCCCCACAAGCCCAAATGGCTCATTTCCTGTTTCTTCTCATTGCCATTAACATGCAGCTGGGATTGGGGGCATCAGGATATGTGAAAAGTCTCCACTTTCTGAACCCACCCAGATCCCAAGCAAGGATTTTTTCATGGCTCTCCAAACCGTCACCTGCCAGGTTTTCCTGGCTACCTGCCAGGGGCGCTCTTTTCCATATCCACACTGCAGCTCCCCGCCAGCCCTCCCGGCCTTGATCTTATCTTGGCTTCAGGGGACCTGTCTCCACGCTGCTTTCCTTCTAGGCCTGTCCCCACCGGCAGCCCAGGGATTCCCTTGCCTCTCCCAGATGGGCTCCAAGGGGGGTTGTGTGCAAGTTGGGAGTTGTACAGCCACGATGGGGAGCAGCAAGGCATGGGTCCCAGTGCAGACACACATTTATGAAGCTGCCGGGGGTGGGGGTGGCTACCAAGGGTGTACCCTCAGGAGCACCCTGCTCGTACCCCTCATGCTGTCCAGGCCAAAGGGGTACTGTCAGGTTCCTCCCACCACTGTGGTCCTTGCGCAACATCTCCATGGCCAAGGCTGTTGATTTAGAAGCCATTTCCTTCCTGTCTACTTCCTCTCCTTTCCTTCCAGCCTCACCAGACCCAGTGGTAGGCTTACTGCTCAGGGCGCACGGAAACCCGGGGCTTGGCGTGGATGAGCCCCGGGGTTCCTGATAACGAACGGGCGTAGTCTAATCTCTGACCTGTCCCCCGTTTCGCTCTGTGAGGAATTACAGTCCTTGTTCTAGCAACCTGCTCAAGAACAAACTTTTGAGCCCCCACAACTGTAATAGGGCCATCAGGCTTTGTTTTCACTTGAAGTTGCTTAAACATTGACCTTCCTGCGAGGAAATTTCAGGACGCTTTTCTGAAAGAGCTGTTGAAATAGAAACAGGAGAGCGATAACGAGTACCCATTTGATTGTGTGGGAGGGGCACCCGCAGCCCCTCCCGCTGAAGTTACCGTATTTTCCAAACCCTGCATGATGAGTGTGATCTGATAAAGGACTTCTCACTGTTTCTCATTTATGTGGTAAGCCTTACAAAAGGATACACCGTTCTATTTTCACAGATTTTTTTTTTTTTTTTTAAGATTTTATTTCTTTATTTCATAGAGCGAACACAAGTAGGCAGAGCGGCAGGCAGAGGGAGAGGGAGAAGCAGGCTCCCCGCTGAGCATGGAGCCCTATGTGGGGCTCAACCCCAGGACCTTGGGGGGATCATGACCTGAGCCGAAGGCAGACGCTTAACCTACTGAGCCACCCAGTAGGGTGATTACAGATTACTTTTACCGAAAATAAAATCACGCGCGTTCAGGGCTGTTAAGGAACAGCCCGCCTTCCAGCCAGTCTTCCAGCGTGGCAAGGGTGACACCGTCCAGTGGCTGGAGGCTCCACACCGTGGGGCTCTTCTGAACTTGTTCCCTTCTGGTGACCCCTGGCTGGGATTGAGAAGGACTACCCAGTCTGTTTGTCTTTCTTCTGGATAAAAGTTGCAGGGACACTTAAGCCTTATGCTTTAGGGCAGAATCTGATCACAGCCGAGATGAGAAAGAAATTTCCCCTTGTGGTTTCAGGTTGCACAGTGGCCCAGGCAGGTGCACTACCTCTGTTAAACACACTCACAGCAGCATGCTGCCTCCTCCCTGGCCATCTCCAGGCCAGGCTGTTGGACCTCGTGGGCCGGCGGGGTGATTCCTTTGGCAGGTCCTGCGCTTGAAGATGGAAGGCAGCTCTACCCCTGCACTCGGCCTTCCTCCGGCTTCCCGTACTGGCCTCGGGGCCATGTTGCCGGGCCCTTAGAACCCTCTGCAACTTCGCGGGAGATTGGGAGTTGGGTCTTGGTCGCTACACACCCACGCCTGCACGCACACATGCCTTTAAAGAGTTTTCTGTAAACTCGCTGCCCCTTTCCTGGGCATGACTTTAGTGCCTACGCCACATCTAACCCATATGCATCCCCAAAATACCACTCACAGCGAATAGTAGAATTCTTTTAACATCAGGCCCACAGTTGACCATCTCAGGCCTGCATTGTGGGTAGCTTTGAAGTCTGATCCAAAAGAAGTGTGTGTGTGGGGGGTGGGGGGGTGGGTGGGTGGGTGTATTGGGGGGGGGAGATGTGGAGGTGTGGGGAGATGGACTTTTCCTTTTCTTCCTCTTTCCTTTTTTTTTTTTTTTTAAGATTTTATTTATTTATTTGACAGAGAGAGACACAGTGAGAGAGGGAACACAAGCAGGGGGAGTGGGAGAAGGAGAAGCAGGCTCCCTGCAGAGCAGGGAGCCCGATGCGGACTCGATCCCAGGACCCTGGGATCATGACCCGAGCCGAAGGCAGTCGCTTAACCAACTGAGCCACCCAGGCGCCCCTACTTTTTTTTTTTTTAAAGATTTTATTTATTTGTTTGCTAGAGAAACAGCAAGAGAGGGAACCCAAGCAGGGGGAGTGGGAGAGGGAGAAGCAGGCTTCCCGCGGAGCAGGGAGCCCGATGCGGGGCTCGATCCCAGGACCCTGGGATCATGGCCTGAGCCGAAGGCAGTCGCTTAACCAACTGAGCCACCCAGGCGCCCTTCCTCTTTCCTTCTTAAGGCCCTGCCTGTGCTGCTGCTTGTGCAGCCGGATAATTACTAGTGCTTCGCAGGCCGACCCGCCTGCTCGTCTTCCTCTGCGTTTCTATCTCCTGCGGTGCACTCCTTCCTTCTGTCTCTATTATTAGCCTACTTAGCTTTACCATTCACTTCCCCACGTCTCCCTGGTTCCCTCCTCATCTTCCTCCGGTCTTTGTTTTCCCTTCACCTCAGTAAAGTTATTTTGGGGCGCACTTTCCTTATTCTGTTCAGATGTGAATCTTCTTTTTCTTTGTTACAATAAAATTAATTTGTTTCTCCTTCATTTCATCATGCATTCCTTCATATTCCCCAAAATGGAAGGTATCGCCCTCCCACACCGAATGTCTGGCTTGTGAACCTTCAAAACAGGAGGTGCCGAGGTGACCTCCCCAAAAACAGGTTTGCTCATCCCCAGGACTGTGGACTCTAATGTTCCGGTTCTCACCTCCTTTGTGCTTTTTCATGATGCAAACCCATTTATGTTCCTTCCCCAAATTCCTGTTTTAGTCCTTAATGGTTCACCTCGGTTTGCTCATTTTGTAGTTTATTATTTCCTTTTTCCCTGTAAGTTTTTCTTGTTCTTTGGGCAACACTGATATTCTTGTTAATTAGAGATTACACCAGTTTTCATTACCAAAATTTGCTAAATGGACATAATAGTGAGCCTTTGGCACTTATTTCAAGCATGCCCTTTGGAAATATGGGAAGAAAAGTAGATTTAGGGCAGCTCTTGGTGTAATAATAATTCCAGCTTTATGGAGAGAAGTAGTTCATGAGGTTCTAATGGAGTAAAAGCTTAAAAGTTACTCTCATCTTGGTAATTTATGTAGGTCTCAGTTTGGGTGAGAAACAGTTTAAATGTAAAAGTTTTTCAAGTAGTGGACTTAGAAATTATTATAATTATTGCTTTAATTTCAACAACTGATAATTAATTTCTGTATGTTAAGAGTTCTAGTGCTGATGATCTGTTACTTTGCGGTTTTAGCCTATTGGGAATTATAATTTTCTGGTTTTATAGCAGAGTTTATAATGTGTACCATGCTGTATTTAAGTAGCGAAACTGTGTTTCTTTAAATAGGCTTTCCTATTCAGACTTCTACTGAGGTAGCCATATCCTCTGACGCTTTATCACTACCCATTTGTAAGATTTCTTGCTATAAGGATAGTTTCATCCTGTTTGCAACATACCCTGTTCTGGGAATAGATAGAAGGAATTGAGGGAATTCTGTTTGAGTCATACTCCATGAAAGAGCAACATCATTTTAGGAATGAAAGCAGAGAAGTTCTCACTCTTCTAAAAATAATGGGGAGAAGATTTAGGGAGGTAGCTTATAGGATCAGTTTTAAGACCAGGGCAGACATACATGCTAATTCCCTCTTTGTAAATGAGAAGTGGCCTTTAATAGCTTTATTATGGTTAGGTGAGTAGGTGAGATTTTGTTCCACCTAAAGCATGACGCTTCTGTAAGCATTGCACTTTGAAACTTGCCTTGTTGGGTTTTAAAAACGTTCTCTTAAGGGGGCGCCCGGCTGGTTCAGTTGGTAGAGCGTGCGACTCTTGATCTCAGGGTTGTAAGTTTGAGCCCCATATTGGGTGCAGAGATTGCTTAAAAATAACATCTTTAAACAAAAAAACCAAAATGTCTTTTTCTGGGTTTTAATCATGTATAATAAAACAAAGAGTCCCTTGCACTTTCTTAAAATCATGTATGCTTTTTGGAGAGGGTAGGTGAGCGAGCAGGGCTTGTGGGTTTTTCTTGCTTTTCCTTATGGGCCTTGCTTCTAAGAAGTAAGAAGTGGTGGGAATAACCCAAACCATAAAGGTTATGGTGGATTTCTGCTTCCCAGGGCAGGAACCATACCCCACCCCCACCCCCCACTTCCCCCAACTTGTATCTCAGTGGTCCTGAAAAGGAGGAGAGAGCTGTTGATTTGTAATTTTTTTTTTTTTTTTTGGAATTCAGTTTTAGGCCCCACAGCTATTCCAAAACCATGAGGACTTACCAGCTCAGACTTGGGAGCCAGTGGGGATTAGAGGTGGGGGTAGAAAATGGGGATTCTTGCTCCAGTCAGAGTTGTTTATGCGGGCTCGGGTTGGAAGCCTTGTTTCTTTGACTCTTTCATTAAACCTAGGTGTGTTGTGCAGGCTTTGGGTCCACTGTCACAATTAAAGGATGGGGAAAAGCGGCGGCGTGATGTCTATCCAATCCGTTCTGACTGCCGAGCACTTGTAATTCAGAGGATAGTCGTTAGAAAAACAGAATGTAGACATTTAGAGCTACAGTTTTTAGGAATTTAGGCTCCAGCTAGAACCCTGGTCTTTTGACTCCCAACCAGTTTACTGATTTTTAATTCAGTCGTTGGTTTTATTTTAGGCTTTATTTTCGAAATAACAGATTCACGTCACATCACTCTAATTTGTGGGAAGTTTTTCTGTTTTGTTTTTGTTTTTTATCAACCAGGTGATCTAAGTGAACATATCTGCTTTTCCTTTGGGTGTTTTCATTTGGGTGTTTTTGGTCATATAAAGAAAACCACAAACTCAGAAGCTCTTGAATGCTTCATGTTTGGATTTTTTTTTTTTTAGTTCAGAGTGAATTACGGACAGTGGAGTAGGAAATAGACCCTATACATAACACAACATCCACTCCCCTGTCTTGCCACCTGCACTTCCATTGGGTGTTTCAGGGTTCATTTTAAGGTGAGAGGTTCATGCCGACCCCTTGACCACCCTGTTTCCTTTTGCTGAAAAATGTGATCACAAGGTTTTTATTTCACAGTGTACTTTGACTATAGGAAGGAACTAACTCCCACCCCAAACCGAATCGCCTTTGAGATCCTATTAAACAGCGAATGCCCTGAACACCAGAATATGAAAATGCTTTTCTAGGATGAGCTCAAAGCATTTCATCCTCCAAATAAAATCTATCTGCTCGCACTTAGATTGTTCAAAGGCAGATGGTAGGCAATTGAAACAGAGAGGCAAGCTGGCAAAAGAAAAAATAAAACCACAAATATCTGAACATGAAGGTGATCTACACTCCTGCCAAACCCCCTCCTAACTTCGTTAACACAGCAGTGTAGCAATTAAGTAACATGGGAACTCAGACTCATATGGCTAATACGATTGTTCTCTGTTAATGGGGTGAATCAAAGCTTGCATATAATATACAGCGTTATTCAACAAAATGCAGAGCTAAAGGAGAGTTTAAGACGGAATCAGCAGCAGAGCCCATAAACCATGCTACCCGTAGCAAACAACCACCTTATTGAAATCTCACTGGCCCTTACCACATATTCACGGTGGGGTCACTGGTAGGAAATGTTCGCTATTACAGTTACCATGTCTTAAGGAAAGGGGCCACTCAGCAGTATCGAGCTTGAGAGTGGCAGTAAGATGTCCTTGAGGTGAGGGAAGAAGGTGGTGAAGAGGCTGGCTCAGAACACTGGGGAGCCCACACCAGATGTGTTGTGGGGAAACCCTGACTTAGCCAGGGACAAACGTTATTGCCATCCTAGTGTTGCGGGGGAGGCTGTGTAATCAGACAGCCCTCTTGATTCCCTTAGCCTTATAACCTACTAGCGGACTTTGCAGACGCCCAAACCTGGCACTTCTCACTAACCTTGAACTTGAACACTCAGTGACAGAAGGGGACGGGAGTGTGTTTCAGCTGCTGGAGCCGGGCGTCTGCGTGGCTGCCATCTCTCGGCAGGCCGTCTGTGGCTCTGCAGGGGCTCCGGGGCGGGTGCGTGAGAGGGGGCTGGTCCCCACTGTGGAAGGGGCAGCCTTCTGAAGCAGGTGGGGCGGGCGCGTGCAAGGGGCGGCGGGGGGCAGGATGTGAGAGGAGTGCACTCTGCTGAGCGACAGTGTGGGGATGCGTGTGAGGAAAGTGGCTACTGACCAGGGGCTGCTGTGGGAGACAAGGCTCTGATCGCCGCCCCGAATAAAAGAAAGGATGCCTCGGTATCCAAAGGAAACCGCTGCTGGCAGAGTGAACCTTGTGCTGCCTCAGTAACAGAGGGGAGGCTTGGAAGAGTTGGCACTACATGTGAAAAGGCAGTAAAATCAGCTCTTGAACTTTGGAGTCATACAAAGTTCAAATATCGAGGTGTCTGATGGGCAGTGATTAGAGGAACTTTAGGGCGTGTGAATGAGTGAATGCATTCCTTCACAAATCAGTGTTTCTCCTCCCCAGCCCTCCACGTAGTATAGTTGTATTGTCCCAGAAACATGGGTTTATCTCTTCCATAAGAGAGCTTGTTGCATTTTATTGCTGTACTCCATTTTCCTTTGTTTTCTTTCCTAATGGTCCTGTGTTTGATCCTGGCCAGATGTTGCCAGTGACTCTTGTTAGAATGATCTTTTTTCCTTTCCCTGCCCGCTCAGACGATGGCCCGTGGTCTCTAAACTGGGATTTGGCAGTGATTCACGACTGTTGTG